ACGATCCCGGATGTGTACCATCTTCCTCACACTACTCATCTCTTAGATCGTCTGGGGAGAAGTCGTTAGTTCACCAAGCTATATCTTACTTCTGGGTATTGGTAAGTACAATGGCCGAAGAAGATATTCTTAAGACTGTTTCTCATACACCATTTGATTTGTACGAGTTCTTGGTGATGCCATTTGGTTTAAACAATGCTCCAGCAACTTTCTAGCAGATGATGGATAAAGTTCTTTGCGCTATACTGAAGGTGACTACTAACTTCATTGATGATGTCTTGATCCACTCAGAGGGGATGTGGGAGGAGCATGTTCGTGATGTTTGTAAAGTGTTGGATTGGCTATGGGACGTTGGTTTAAAGTTGAAGCGGTCGAAGTGCATGTTTAACTTATCTTGAGTACTGTATTTTTCGTGAGGGTTTGCAAGTTGATCCTGACAAACTTATGGCTGTTTTAACGTTCCCTACTCCAAAGTGTGTAAATGATGTGCAACCTTCCTGGGCAATGTGCAATATTTCAATTGTTTTATGGATCATCTTTTTGATTGCATTGTACCGTTGTGAGCATTGCTAAAGTCATCAATATCTTCTTTCATCTAATCTCTGGATTGTGAGCAGGCTTTCATGGATCTCAAAGAGTTATTGACGACTCCTCTGGTGTTGGCATATCCTGACTACATTCAAACTTTTATTTTGCACGTAGACGCTTCTGATATTAGTTTTGGAAGTGTGTTGATGCAATAGAGCTCAAATGTGTCTGGTCAGCACCATCCCATTGCACATATAAACCATATATTACAACTAGTGGAAGTGAATTACTCCACGATAGTCTAGTGAGCCAGGATGAAGAAGCTCCATCAAAATCTTCGTTTAGCTTCCAGATAATAGGGTTTCTCACCTGAAAAAGCCACAGAACCAAATATAAACCTAGAGAAAGAGTGTTTAGCAACAGTTTGGGGTTTCGAGAAACTTTATGCATATTTACATGATTTTTGGATGTTACTAAAAGGTGATCATGTTGTCTTATTGAAGTGAAAGAACTTAGTTGGTCGTATTGCTCGGTGGACTTTGAAGTTTCAAATATATAATTTTGATGTTATTCATCATCTAGGGAGTTCTATGGCTAATGTTGATACCCTTTCTCAAGCTCCTCTTTTTTCTTCACTCTCTTCTCATGTTTTGATGAGCTTCTTGTTCCAACATTTGTGGATTTTCTAGACAAGAATTCTATGCCGTCAATAGTTGTTGTACTTGACATTCAATGTCCACAAGGTGCAAAGAAAGATCTACCTTCTCTTGATGAGGTTTGTGAGGCTCAAAAGATTGAGCCATGGATTCGAAGGCTTTGAGGTGGGTTTGAAAATCTTGCATCACTTACTGATAACTTGCTATTTTGGCATTTACATTATCACCTTGAATATGGCCTTCTTTATTTTGTGAGGACGGATCCTGATGATCATTTATGGCTAGTGGTGCCTTCTGTCTTTATTCCACGGTTTCACTATGCCTACCATGATTCTTTTGTTCTAGGTGGGTATATAGGACATTGTTATGTGACCAAGAAGTTGCGTAGGTCTTTTTATTGGCCAGAGATGTGACATGATATTATTTAGTATATGCGTAGTTGCATTTTGTGCCAAGCTTGTAATACTCCCCCTTGTGCCGCGAAAGGACAGTTGGAGTCAATTGCAGTTTCCTGTTCATTTAAGTTAGTGGTGTTTGAGCTCATAGGACCTTTTCCACAGTCGATTGGTGGCAATGAATATGTTATTATTGCTTCTGATTATTTGATTTGTTGGGTGGAAGTTGATGCTCTTGTTAGTGTCTTTACAACTACTGTTGGATACTTCCTTTTCAATCGAGTGGTGTTTCAACATTTTTGTCCGGAGTGGATTTTTTCGGATAATGGTCTTACATTTATGGCTAAAGCATTTCATGTTTTGACATCTCGATTGGGGATATGCCACACTTTCACAAGTGCTTATCATCTATAGTCAAATGGTTTGGTGGAACAGCTCATTCGGATATTCAAAGGAATGATCACAAAGTATGTGAACTTTTAGCATTTGGATTGGGATGGTTATTTGTCGTCTTTTCGGTATGCATATGTCACAAGGGTATAGAGTTCTATTGGTGCTTCACCATATAAACTCCTATATGGTCATAATCCAATATTATCAACAGAGTTGAGTTTACCTTTGCGATTGCCACGAGCTGCCAATATTAAGTCATGGGATTAGTATTTGACGAATTCTTTCACTTGTTCAAGTAGAGTCTACTGAACACTTAGGCTGCGTACAAGTGAGACAACAACGATACTACAACTCTCATCATTGTCCACTTGTGAAGTACAAAGTGGATGACTTGGTGTTAGTCTATTTTTTCTATCTTACGGTATATGGTTTATCTAAAGGGCTCCTTGCTTAGTGGAAAGGACTATATTGAGTGTTCTAGCAAGTTGGATAATAAGTTTATGAGGTTTAATATGACATTTAATAGGCTGATCCTTCAAAAATTGTGCATGTGTATTAGTTGAAACACTTCATACAAAGGGATCAAAAATAATTGATACCACCTACAGATCTACCAATATCTCCTTCTAATATTCTTCTAGATCCCAACCCATCTATAAGAGAACCCTAATGGTCTTTTATTATTTCGAGAGGAGGGGATGAGTGTAGAATTATGATACTATATACTAATATTAAAATAGTGACTCGCTCTTATATATAAACTAGGGTTTTTAGGCTAATTGATATGCACATTTTTTATATTCCACGCACTCACAGAGTAAAACTACAAATTAGTGATATCCCTTTTTGGTAGCCAAAACTTTACCACCTCATATTACATTCAATGTAATATTTTTGGATTTTTTTGTCATTTTTGTCATTTATATATTGCTTGTTGCATTATTTTATAAGAAAAGTTCAAATCCTAGATCACTGACCAGTGGCTTGGCATCACAGATAGAATCACTTTTGTGGCACCCTAAACCTGAGTGCCACTTGCTGCCACAGATGCCATTGGATCGACACTAGGAAGCCACCCTGCACAACTAGTCACAGACAAACATGACACTTTCTAGGATTTGTGCAAATCTAAATTGCACAATAGAGCCAAAGGGTTAGCAATCCACTCTAGATATAAAAGCAAATCCACAAATATTTTGCACAAACAAAGCCATGAATGCTACTATGTACCATGCCATTTCTAAAGACAATTGCGGCCTATGGAGTGAACCCAGTGAACCGCTTCACCTCACCGGCTTTGCAAGGCAGAGTGATCCAGTTTCTACAGCCGAACATCCGCTTTGCAGTCAGCACTCAAATCAAGCTTGAAGAAGTTTGGGCAGAGCATCAGAATCTATTGCCAGAGTTTCCCCAAGAGAAATTATTGCGCAACACAATCGTTTAACTGTTAAACTGATTGTTGCTTCCGTACCATATGATGAACGATTGGAGCATGTGATTGTATTTTAACCCCAGATTCGTTTTGGCAGAGAATGATATGCCCCTCATGGGGAAAAAAAATCTTTGTACGCATTCCCTTTTCAATGATGGAAAACGAGCCTTGGAGAACGTGAGCTGTATCCCAAAAGCACCGGCTCTGAATGCTTGGCAAAGATTCTTTGCTTGGACAACCGGGATCGATGGTTTTCTTTCTTTGTTTTTCCAGCTTGCATTCTAAACGTGACGGCACCAAAGAGCGACGTATGGATTGTATGGAAAATACAAACACACGAACCTTCTATGAAGCTCTTTAGCAAGTTCGCGTCGGGAGCTCCATAGCGACGCGTGGTGGAAACAACAGCACCGCTCAACTTGGTCACGAAACCTCCAAAGATTCACCGATCGTCTCCCTCGTTGGAAAGCAAGTAGTCTGGATTGGAGCCAGATCCACTTTGTGTTCTTCAAGAGAGCTTTTTTCAACATTAGTCACCTAGACAGAGACAAGATCCATAAACAAACCGAAGATGGAGAAAAAAAACTTACACGTAGAATCTAGCATGTTGCATCTGGTCTTCTATCCTCTGCTAGAGCTACACAGCATCGCAAACCAAAAACTCTGGGTCACGTCCTCCATGGTCTTGGTCAGCACGAGGGAGAGGGTCAGAACGAAAAACTCCTGTTTCCCGAGGAGCTAGGGATGATCTGCAAACCCGTGTGCATGAGACGCAGGAGCTCCTTGATCGCCTCGTTGTTTCCTTGTAAGCCTCTAGAACCGACTCGGCCCTGCTAAACAGCGCGTTCGCCAGCGCCACTGGCAATTCCCCGTCCTGGCCAGCATCTAATTGAGCTAGAATTGGCTAGAGCCGCTCGCAAAATCCCACAAAGCTCCGGCACACTCGCACTTGAACAGCATTCCCAGCACTGTGCTGGAAATCCTGTCGATCTGATCAAGAACATGGCCCAGACACTCCATCGCCAATCAGTCGATTGCCACCTCTGTGCGAGTGCCATCTCTGCTATCAGGGCCTACCATGTCATAAGCGCAAGCCATGTTAGAGGAAAGAGAGGAACGAGCGCGGCATCTGCCACATAGGAGAGAGAAATGAAACTCACGGAGGTTTAAACGGAGGCCTCTTACTAAAGCAAGAAAGGTCTAGGCGACCTGGGTTCAATCCCAGAAATGGAGCTTTAAAGTTCAAATGTGGATACAATTATCCCACGTGGAGTTTGAAAGGAATACAATTATCCCACGTGGAGTATGAAAGGAATACAGTTATCCCATGTGAAGTTTGAAATAAATAGTCCGTTCTGTGGCAACTACAGCATGCTATAAAGCAATTATCCCACGTGGAGTTTGAAATAGTCCGTTCTAGGATAACAACTTAGCAAGCATTATGGCATGTTTTGTGGTACAGCTGCCAGATGGAGGTAGTACTGTATGTTTTGCATACATACATACATGATTCTTTGATTATAAATGCCAAATGCTTGAGTTTAGGAAATCTTACTTTATTTACATATTTACCTTTAGTTCTAAAGCTAAGGTAAAATGGAGTTTCTCTTGGGAAAGATTGTCCCTCGTTTCGAGTTGCCTCTTCTTCCAAACAACATCCCCTGTGCTTGCCACCCGGATTCCTCCTCTCTTAGCCAGGAACTCGATGAATGGTTCATTTCCAAGTTAGGCATCACGGACGAGAGCACCAAGAAGAAGATCGTCCAGTCGAGAATCATGATCTTTGCTTGCTTGATGCATCCCAATGGCGAGAGGGACAGAGTCCTCCTGGCAGGGAAGCATTTGTGGGTGTGCTTCTTGGTGGATGACATCCTCGAGTCAAGCACCAGGGAAGCCTATGGCAGCCTCAAATCCATCGTCTGGAGCATTGCCACCACTGGAATCTACAAAGCATCCAACGAGGAGCATGATCATTGTCTCGTGCTGCTGCTCTACCAGGAAGTTTTGGCGGAACTCCGCAAGAAAATGCCCAGTTCTTTATTCACTCGCTATTGCAAGATCCTCTCAAGCTACCTGGATGGCGTCGAGGAGGAGGTCAAACACCAGGTGAAGAACACGATCCCGAGCAGCGAGGAGTATCGGCTCCTTCGCCGCCGCACTGGATTCATGGAGGTGATGGCGTGCATCATGACCGAGTTCTGCGTTGGAATCAAGCTCGAGGAGTCGGTTGTAAACTTGGGAGAGATCCGTGAGCTCGTCAAGGTCATGGACGACCACATTGTCATGGTGAACGACCTCCTGTCACTTCGCAAGGAGTATTACAGCAGCACCATTTGCCATAACTGGGTGTTTGTTTTGCTTGCGGATGGCTGTGGCACTTTTCAGGAGAGTGTGGATCATGTTTGCGAGATGATTAAGCAGGAGGAGGGTTCGATTCTGGATTTGCAGCAGAAACTTATTATCAAGGCAAAGGTGGACAAGAATCCGGAGCTTCTCACATTTGCATGTAATGTTCCAATGGCAGTTGCTGGTCATCTAAAGTGGTCTTTCATTACCGCTCGTTACCATGGGTGTGACAATGCTTTGCTCAATGGTGAGTTGTTTTATGGAACTTGGCTCATGGACCCCAATCAAACAATAATCCAGAAAAACATATAGTTTTTATCGTGGAATTTTTGGTAACGTGCAACTCAATAATGCAACAAATAAGTTCTCTGTTTTAATTATTTATTCTAATAATTCTCAGTTGGTTAGAGCACCCGTTTAGTAAGTGAAAGCAAGAAAGTTAAACGTTGCACCTCTTAGCGAGCTCTCTTTCATGCCACCAGCTTGACGATCTCCGGTTCGCGCGCCCCAGAAAATCGATCAAGCTTTACTGGTCAATCCATTCCCAAACTAGCTCTGCATCTCCTCAAAGATTTCCCAGGCCTTGTCAAGCAGCCAGGCTCGGCTGAAAGCGATTTGCAGCGATAGGAAAGTGATTGTGTTTGGACGAACTCCATCCCCTCCAAGCCTTTTTTCCCCTCAAGACTAGCATTGCATTCCCTGCACCATCTTAGCCCCCTCTAATTATAAGTCATATTCCAATCCAATTTTTTATAGCAATTTTTTTGTTTTTTTTTTCTCCGAGCCACCAAGCCAAGTATCCCGGCATTCATGAGAACAACAAATACCTAAGACATACAGATCAAAGAAACTACTAGTTTTTAAGGCTCGCGCTCCTTGGAGTAAAATAGCCAAGTAGAGATTGCTGCTGCTTGCCACTAGTGGGAGGGCTCACTCGCTTTCTCGCTTTGGAAGACGAAACAACGGGTGCTTTGTTCTCCTGTAAATAGGGAAAATAAAAGAGAGACATTAGAACACGACTTTGTGATGGTTTCCATCCCATCTCACCTTGTCTCCGATGGATTCGTTTGGATTGGGAGCTTTTACCGGCTTGGGCACCTAGAACAATCACTCCACGGTGAATTAATCGATAAAAATTTAGCAACTGTTACCTTGGCGACGTTCCTCGGAAGAGGACTGAGACGTATCCTCTTGGAGGTCTTGCTACCAACGTCCGCGCTCGGTGACGGGTCAGTGATGATGTCCGCACACGGCTCAATGTCATCTGGCCTCTCGGAAAAGATTCTCTTGTGCCGGTTTGATTGCTTCAAAACCGGAGACTCCTGGACACTCGTGAGCGCTTGACTGACTATAGCCTTCTCCGTGTTCCTACTGGAATGGACCGTTAGCCAGACAGTTTTACGATTGAATGAAGAAAACTCGCCTCTCACTTGGCGTGTCTTCTAGTATCCTAACAAGTCTTTTCACTCGTCCCGCGAGGACGGCGTCCGAAGGATACTGCAAAAAAATTATTAGACACTGTAGTACTAAGAAAAGCGAGACGCACCTCATCTATCATCGAAGCGAAGCAGAGAGAAGCATCAGCCCTGCAAGAATTAGTACACAAAAAACAAAAACAAAATGGACGGTGAAATCAGTATCAAACTATAGACGTTATAGGAACCTTATTGATTTGAACGCCTTGTGTCCATGCATATGCACGCCTTTTAGCAAATCCAAGTCTTCAGCTTCACCCCACCACGTAGGAAGTTTTTTCGACCTGAATATACGTAAGCTTACGAACGAAAACTCGGTGCCTGGTACCTGGGCAGTCCTAGCCATAAGTTGTCCAGCTTTAGAGCCTTCGCAATAGCTTGACGTTCACGAACAATCTCCAAATACCTGCAGGAATTCCATAAGTCAGAGTAACGGTAAATAATGTCTTACTTCGTGGCATTTTTTTCCAGTCGTTGCATGAATGCGGGAGAGTTGAGGGCTTTCTCAGCCTTGGGTGGTAAAACTGGAGGCACAATGATAGAATCCGGCTTTGCGCTTTTCATCACCGCATAGTGGCACAGCTCAATAATCGCCTGAGTAACTTCTTCTACTTCCAGTGAGTCACGATCTTTAAACAGCTCGTCTCCTGAATCATTAAGAATTTGAAGTGAAGGTATGAACAAATAGAGCGGGCCAACTTACTCTGAGGTGTCCCATACATTAAAATGGAAAGCTCAACGCGTTGCACTTCTTGAACACTCCAGGTTCGATTTTGGTCTCCATCACTGTTGCTCTGATCGTCGTCACTCCTACTGTGATCGTCATCGTCATCACTCGAGTTCTCGGTCTTTTCCGCGTAGTTTACTCTTTTTCTCCGAGGACCTTCGAAGCTGATGCTTTCTACATCTTCCTTCACCTCATATGCTTCTGGCATAAGATTTTTCCAAAACTCTTCGGCTCCCACATTGCTGAAGTCCGGACTAGGATCAGCAGTTGCATTGTCAAGCGAAACAAAGGTGGCAACCGAGAAAGTATTGTTTCCTCGCCTGAAATAGACAGACATTATGCTTTAGCCGAAAGAATGTTGTATTCTCACCCTCCAATTGTTCTTTTCTGTGTCCTCTGTTGTAGGATTTGGTCTATATCCTCAGCACGAAAAGCTGCAGCATCCTCCTCCCCGTCCTCCTGCAAGTACTTTACTTGCAGCAGCTACACGAAGCTTGTACGATACCTTCAAAACATATGCACCATGCCTTAAAAGGCTCTCGATGTTTTTAGTAAAATCAGGTTGGTCCTCTGCGAATCTCCCCAATACAGCCTCGTCCAGCCCATACTTCCGTGAAGAACACTCGAACAAGTGTTGCTCGTAGGTGTTTCGTGTTATCAAACGATAAATCCTGACGTCTTTCGTTTGACCGATTCTACAATAACAACATGGATGACTTAGCAAAGGTTTAACGTTATGAGTACCTGTGACACCGTGCCATCGCTTGAAGATCATTTTGAGGATTCCAGTCTGAATCATAAATTATGCATGTATCCGCCTACAAAAAACCGCAAATGTTTATTTTGAATCAGCAAGAAAAAGGCTGACTTACAGCTGTGAGAGTGATCCCCAATCCCCCAGCGCGAGTGCTCAATAAAAAGGCAAAGGTCTTACAATCGTTCGCAGAATACCGATCGATAGCTGCCTGCTTGAACAGGTCCCAGTTAAGGATGCTGAAAGCAATTGTTTAAGATCTTACCTGTCGTTCGGAACCCCGAATCTTCCCGTCAATCCTCTCAAACGTGTACCCTTCAGAAGAGAGATAATCTTCTAGAATATCCAGCATGATTGTAAACTATCATTCAGTACAAAAACAAGTCAAACGATAGAAGCTCCAGGATAAAAACCTGAGAGAAGATGAGAACGCGGCGATTTGAATCTCGCAACATTGGCAGAAGTTTGTTCAAAAGAACCATTTTCCCAGAACTTTGAACCAGATTCGAAACACTCGAGGCCTTCAAAATTAAGGGATGAGACAAGTAAAGAGCAATAGAAGAACCTCACATTTGCATGCTTGGAAGCAAAATCCTCTTCAAGCCCATCACATAGGAACGGGTGATTACAAAGCTTGCGAAGTTCCATAGCCTGAAAGAGCGTATCGGAATTAGACAAATTTCATGGAGAACGGTACCATATTCCGCAGGTTCGGCATATTACTAGGTTGAGTCCCTTTAATTAAATCAGATATTCTATTCTCGTAAAGCGCCCTGTAGTACGCTCGTTGATCTTTGGTCAGTTCCACCCAAATAATAGTCTGAAGAACATAAAACTTTAGACATGAATAACAATCGCCATACAGTTCGTACCTCTTCCTTTAACGGAATGCTCTTCTCCACGTCTTCCTTCATGCGACGCAAGAGCCTAGGCCGCAAAACATTTTCTTGAAGATCTTTCACCTGCATTGTGGTATCTTAGAACGAAGTAGTTTACATGACCATTGAAGAGATACCTGTTCAATATCTTTGATACTTCCATATTTGTTCATAAAGCTCTCTTCCGAGTCAAATTTATCTGGATCAAGGAAGCTTAAAAGGCTACTGCTCAAAAGTAAATTTCAGAAACGTCAGAACAAACATTCGCATTTCAACGCAACTTACAAGAGCTCTTTAGTGTTGTTTTGGATGGGTGTGCCGGTCAAAAGAAGAAGGCCTCCTTGTCTGACATCCATACACCCGAGAGCATGCGCAGTCTTGGATTCTTTAGACTTCAGCCTGAAACAGCAACATAAACTGTCAAAGTAAAAAGATTTAGCTAGCCTGTACCGGTGGGCTTCGTCAACAACCACGTACTGCCACGACACTTTCGCAAGAAAGCTTCGGTCTTTCATTATGATTTCAAAACTGCTCAAAAGAACCTAGAAACAAAATTATCAGTTTTACCAGCTTAAAGTGAGAACAATTTTCTTACAGTAAATTTCGGATTTCCTCGTGGACTCCAGAACTCGTACTGTTGAATTATAGCACGATCCTCCTGGCTTCCCATGTAAACGACACAATTCATATCAGTCAGCGATTCGATTTCTCTTTGCCAGTGACCGAGCGTTGATACAGGCGCGACAATCAGGAATGGTCCCTGAATCCTTTTCTTGTAACGCAAGTTCTCCAGCATCGCAACAGACTGTAAGCATAGGATTTAGCATTGTGAGAAACGAAATGAAAAGACTTACCTGTATAGTTTTCCCCAGTCCCATTTCATCGGCAAGAATGCAGTTCACCTTAAGGTGGAAGTTCCGATCCAGCCATGCCACCCCGTCCTTCTGATACTCACGCAGTGCACGTCCATCTTCGAAGCCTGTAGATATATTGCGAGGCTTTGAAGACGGACCAAATGCTCTAAATTTAGCGAGAGCTGCTTTCTCTGCCGCCATGGACTCTTCGATTTCCCAGGTCGCATCTGTGTATGGGAGACCTTTCCACTTGACGTAGACTTTCTTTGTTCTCCCGCGCTGCTCAAGTGCTACCACCCTGTCGACGATGAGGTACTGCGGATCAAAGGCAGGACCACTTTCAGCAGTCCCCAGATGTCCATCAACTCTTCCAAGCGCATCTAAACGCTTGTGGAAGCTCCGCAGGAGTTGAGGGGAGTACTTTTGCAACACCGCCTCTGTGACGTTCACGGCATTCCTGTAGCTTCTGCCATACTCCTTGACGCAATACACCGCAGCACCGCTTGATCGGTTTCTCACCGCCAGTATCTTCTCGGCTTGCTTGAGTACCTTGGCAACCGGCCGAAAAGCTCCTTCAACTTCCAATCCATGCATGGTAACCGCATAACGAGGCGACCGCACTGCTTGCTCGGTCCCATCTTCCGACTCACTGCTTGCGCTATCATCGGTCCCACTCGCCGAAGAAATCACCTTCTTACACCAGTACTTTTGCAGCGTTCCTTTGGCAGTCCCTTTCCCAGCAAGTTTAGCAGCAGTGCAAGCTCTTCTTGGCCTTCCGGAATTTGTCACTCCAGCCGATGGTTCCTTCTTCACCTGAACCCAACCATTTGCCGCCCGACCATTTGCTACTTTGTTCTTATATTTCCTCCCGGCATTCCTCGTATCCTTCTCGGCTTTACCATCACCATCACTATTCGAATCCGGAACATAGAGATCACTGTCGAAATCTGGCACAGCGATGTCATCTTCCACTTCATCCTCGCTCGACGAAGACGACGAGGCGTCCTTGTAATCAACTTTCCCCACATCCCGAGTTTCTCTGGCTGATCGCTGCTTCCTTATTGGTGTCGACTGGAAGAACACATCACTATCACTATCTTCCCGACCGTTTAGAAGCGTAGAGAGTACCTTGCGAGAATTCCTTACTGGGCGGACGACACGCCTCACGGCCATCGCGATATTTCCATCCGCAGAGGAATCGTCCGAGATCTCCTCGGCCGGCGCTTCGGCCATCGGCGCCGCATGCTTGCGCTCCCTCAGCTGCATTTCCTGGAAAATCCCTAGCACCAGAACTTGGATCGCATTCCTACCTCCGAGAAGAAACCCTCGCGCGTTGCCGAAGAACCCTAGACCGCTAGAATTTGAATAAAGAGCGGGAAAAGTCCACAGTCTCGAACCCCAGATCTTTAAAAAACTTTATGCCATGATCTGGAACTTCACTGCCTACGCATCGTCCGAGGATATGAAAATTTTGTAGAGGGGGAAGCTTTGACAAAGAATGCTTGACGTGAGCTTGTGGTTTGCGGGGCCAAAAGCTTGAGAGACGCCGAAAACATGGATCACTTGTTGCTCTGGAGAATGCTCCATTTTACCACCTCCCATCGGCTCCACCTGTGGAAGAAAAGAAGATTGCATTTCGATCGATTGTTCTTCACGAGATACCTGTAAGCCCAACGGTGTGACTTCCCTTTGGAACGCTTCGAGTATATCGGTGTGGAAAAGCAGCTCCTTGTTGCCTCTCACAACCTGTAGGAGGATCTCAAGTCTATAGTGCTTTGAAATTGAGAGAAAGAAGACGAACCAGTTTTTGGTTGCCACTGGAATCCTTCACGCGGATCAGTACATACTTGAACTTTCCTGTTCACGAACTACAATTTTAGAAACGTGAAACGAAACGAGAATGCAGGCTACCTTCGTCGATTTCGGTGGTTTGCACGTCCTTTCCTGCCCAGGAGTCCTCAGTATCACTCTCTATCCATCTCTCCATCAGTAAACGAGCAATTGCATGCTTTCCAGGAACGCTGAAGTTACACGTTGATTTGTTCATCAGGACAGCCTTGAGAAAGTCTTGGTGAACCCATCTAGCATCCTGAAGAAAAAGAAAGAAACAAGGTGCCAGGTGAAGCTGTAGAGTTGCAGTTTCTAACTTCGTTTACCTCTAGCTCACTGGAGTTTGCAGCAATCTTAGGCAGCGTATCACAATCATGAACGCCAGCAAGTACTTCATCATCTGTGAGCTGCGATTTTGGCTCCAAAAACTTGCCATCGGCCTCACCAACAAATCCTACCATCAGGGAAGATGGAAAAGGCCATGGTTGATTGGCCACGTACCTGAAATGTGGAAGTTGCTTACCAGCTGACAAAGGATCAAAAGCTTACTTGATACTCGACGGATTCACGTCTATATTCGCCTCCTCTTTCACCTCTCGAACTACAGCTTGCTCAAAAGTTTCTCCAACTTCTACAAATCCTGCAAGCAAGGAGTAGCGACCTTGCTCCCATTTATTCTGCAAGGAATATATACACGAACGTCAAGAAGAGAAGGAAAGGAGAACTCGCCTGTCGTCCAAGTAATATGTACTTGCCAAACGAAACAAGTACTATAATGGCTGGATCCTGGCACAAGAAGTTCTCAACTCAAAACTGCCGGGCACAAATCAAGGAAAGCTACCATGAAAGCTTAACACGCAGAACGTGTTTTATACCAGGCGTGGATATATCGAGTTCTGGCATGACTGCAACGAGCACTTCAGACAGTGACCAGCGTGATGGGAGATCATCCTAGAACCGCACAATCCACAAAACCTCTGCCACAAATCAAAGCAGCAAAAAAAGATAAATCGAAGATAGTTTCTCAGACACAAGTAAAGTGCTTACATTTCTCGAGTTCCACTCCACCATTCCACGAGCGTAGGCAAGGAGTCCTGCGTGAGAAGCTCGCAGCTCGGGACCATATCTTCGGAGATCCACCCATTGTCCCTCCGTCTGCCAGTCACTGCTAGAAAATCCATCACAAATGTAAGAACACATTCATGAGTAAAGACCACCATCTTACGAGGACTGTTTCACATCGACGGCAAAAACCGGCAACCGATCCGGAATCGTCAATCCCAGGAAAATTCGTTTGTCTGAGTCCAACTTCTCTGGAGAGAAAAAAAGAGCTTGATCACACTTGACAAAATTCTTGTTTCCCTGAACTGGCACGGCCTGCAAGAGAGAAGAATGAAACAAGAAGCAAGAACTAGGTAGTAAACTTTCGTACCAGTGCTTTTGGATCGGCATAAGCTTGTGAAATAAACTTTGAGTCTAGGCGGAGCTCGGTAGCACGATCAATGCCAGCATCTGCATAAAACGTCTGGCAACGCAACCAAATTCTTCCTCAATTGCCGCAGAGAACGAAATAAAAATCAAAGAAAACTCGCGGAAAGAGAATACCTCCGAGTAATGCGATACAGTAGAAGCTCTGATGAGCCGCGCATGCGCCATGAAATTCCTTGACCACAATTTCACACAGCCTCTTCTCCCTGACCAAAACCAAATCCAGTCGATCGAGGCTCTGGAGCGCAATTTCAAGCGCTCTCACCTTGCTGGAGGAGAATCCGGGACGAAACAGGAGAATGCCACAGCCCCAGCGTCGCCATCATCGATTTGCCCTAGGCTCCGAGCTTCTATTTTCTAAAGAGGGGGATATTCTTCCTTCGTTTGATTTGTACGAGACAAGATAGAATTTCGCGGGGCTTTGTCGTGTTAAAACGAATGCCCAAATTCTTCTCCACTCTTTCCTCGCTCGTCCTGATCGCTATGTCTTCCTCGTCTTGCATTTGCTCTACCGGATGTAAGTGCACTGGGAATTGCACGTAAGTAGCTTGAAAGAAGCTTTGTTTTCCTTCTCACGACCATTTCTCTACTTCCAGCTGCAAGATCCCGCATCTGACTACCAGGTAAGAGATCGATCGAGTTCAAGGAGAAAAAACTTGAAAAAGCTTCTCTTTTCTTTCTCTTTTTTTTTTTGTTCCAGTATGGATGCCACTGCTCGGCGTGTTCTTGCTCTTCTTCCAACTGGTAGCGCTCCTGCCGAGAGTGCTGGTGGCTACGAGCTTGAGAAAAGCTGTGCTCCTTCTCAGTACGCAATTGGCGAAGAAATTGCCACTGCTTTTAATGTCTAGATAAGAAAACTCTGCAACAATGCTCTAGAATCAACCCACCAATAACAGCTGAACCTTTCGCCCTCTCTCAAATCACCTAGAAGAAGAAAAAAAAGAAGTCCGGGCACCGACATATACAAAGCTGCTGCTGGTTAGTAGAGATCCGCCCAGGATTGCTAGAAATCGCATACCAGCATTTTCAGTAGCCAGCCACGCAGTCTAGTCATTTGCCGTCCAGCTTTGTTCCACGACTGCTCGAACTTTCTTGTTATACTCTCGCCTGTTCTCGTTGTACATGCGCGCCGCCTCGGAGTTAGCAGGAGAGTTTGGGTTCGGATCGCATAGCAAAGACTGGAAGAACAAGAACAAAAAGAAAAACTTGGAGTCAGTGTTCACAGCTCAACACTTCCAAGCAAACCTGGATCGATGTCAGTATTGCGGCAACATCATAAATCGGGCTCCACTGATTTTGGAGGATGTCGAGACAAATGCTTCCATCGGCATAAACTGCGAGAGCGCGTAAGGAAGATAGACACTACGAATAAACGAACTTACTGTTGGGATGGAACATCTTCGACACAAACCGGACATTTGGCGGTTTGTTGGGATAGTCCTCCGTGAACTGTAACGTAAGCTTGAACGTACCTGACAACGAAAAAAAATTCTATCACAAGAAGGAAAAAGACGAGTTTTGGCTCACCTCCATCCCATGGCGTGTCGTCAGGCCTGTAAGAAAGAACCGACATTCAAAAACCCTAAGAAAGGTTTCGCGAGAACTCACCCGAAGATCACAGCATTCCACAACATGATATTGTTGTCCTGTGGAGCGCCGCTGATGCCTGCCGGAGGATCATGCTGTAGGCGCTTGAAATCTCGCATCAGGCGCTTCCTCGCCGGCGTAGACATCCTTGTGCTCGATCACTCAAGCCCTAGCACGGCGGCGCGCGGACAACGATGCGCCTAGATCTGTAGCATCGGCGTTCACGGCACTCCCAAGCCCTACAAAATGAGAGACCGAATAAGAACTGCCACGTTGGCACGATTAAGACCGTTGGATGTAAGGAAATCAACGGCCAGCTGGCATGGTGTTAGGGTTTTTGCCCCGCGCAGGAGGATGTGGAACACTCGATCGATCGATGCTGTGCTGCTGCTCGTAGCATTCTCCTTCTCTCTGTCTCGCGCATTCGTGCCGCCGGGATCCAAATGCTACGCTCTCGACGGGAATTACCGCCTCCACGATTTTGTATCCTTCGATTGTTCGTGGTTTGTCCGTGAGCATTTTACTTAACGTTTTCTCCCAGACGCAATGGATTGGGCATCAGTTCGAGCACTCCAGCAACGTGAGTAGAATGACTGTTCTCTTTCCTTGAATTTATGTTTAAATTCTTTTGTTCAGGATGGAGATTTTGTACTGCGATTTTGTAAAGACGTTCAGCTGAGATCAAACAAGGTACTCTCCTTGTTTTTCTTTTTGTTCGATTGAGCTATCTTTCGATTCATTCAGGGATATGTAAACTATGGTCGTTTTGTTCCTCTTCTCTCGACCAGCGAGAATGGAAATTTTGTGCAAGTAAGTCTGGATCATCTTTATCAGATTATATGGGATCACTAAGGATTGGATTCTGTAGCACTACAACCAAGGTGATTTGCAAGGCTGTGAAAACAATGGTTTCGACTTGAGTGGCCGGAACTCCGAGGTAGAAGAACATTTCGTTTTCTCTATACTTTTATTCAGCTCAGAGAACTTTCAGGTGTCAGTCAGTTGTGGACGCTGCGATGGCACGTCGTGTACAGGTATTGTGTGCTTGATTTCTTTCTTTTCATTTCAATTGACGTGGTATTTACTTTCAGACTCCTTTGGATGCATTTGCAATGTGACTTCAACTCAATCAAGTTGCAGGTATTCTTTCCGATCTCGTAGAATCAAATCTCAAAGTTTCACCAAAAAAATACTATTCGATGCAGCTCAAAAATCGTTGCGGCTGTCAAATGCAGCGAAGGGGGTCCTCGCGTGATCAAAGGCTTCACAGTGGGATTCAGTCCGCGTGGGAGAGAAATAGTACGTCCAACAAGCTACTTTGTCGTGGTGACACATATTATTCGTGTTCGCAGGTTGAAAATGGCATCACACAGTGGGGCTATGACAAGTTTCACTCGGATTACAGGTGGATTGGATCTTTTTATTGCCGTCTTTTAGCTAATGGAATCTTCGATTTCAGTTTTTCCACAGAACAGAGAGCTGTGTCCCTATATTTTACAGCACCTACAGCACTGTCCAGATTCGTTAAGAAACCGTCTTTCACGGTAAGATTTTTTCACATATCTTCAATCCACAACAAAGCTTTCTGTCTGCAGGTGAAACCAAGCAAAGGACTAACAGTACAATTGGCTGGTTCTGCTGCAGAGGGCGAATCGCCAACAACAGAATCTCCTACTGTTTTAAGCGTGGACTGGCAGTGTATGTCATCTCTTGTCCTGTGATTTTATTCTATCTATAATTCTCTTCAGGTGATAAGCCCACCGGAGGTCCTTACGTCGTCACTGTGAGTGTCCCGGCAGATGGTTTCAATCCGGTCGTGTTCAACTTGGGAAAAGAGTGTGGTAAGAAGTTTTATAGCTCAAATCCTTCACACGTAATGCATTGCTCGCAGAACACAAGCAAAAATCCCAGGATGGCGGCTCAAGCGGCTGGGCGACTTTCGGAGTAATCTGTCTTGTGTACGTAGCTCATACCCGTCTCTGGATTTCCACAGTGTCTAATCCTTTCTTCGTGTTTTTGTAGCGTCATACTCGTGTTGGGCTGCTGCTGTTGCGGTGGCTTCTGCTACAACACTCGAGTTGAGCACAAGGTATTGAGGATGATCAATTGCCAAACACTCACAGTTTTTGTTGCCTTGAATCATCAGCATGGCTTCGACGCACTTCCCGGAGTGACAACTCTTGCTCGCTACCTTGACTCCGTAAGCCTGCTTTTCCTTCCTTTCTCTATCACAGCTCATCGCTTTCACTTTTCATTTTAGGCGTCCGGTCAAGCTCGCTCTGATGGCTATCGCCCAGCCGAGGACGCGTCGAGCACAGCACCCTCGAGACCCACGAGAACTTCTGATAGTAGCAAATATGGGACCGTGTAAGTTCGCTATGCAATCTTCCTCCAGGGTCTAATGGAGTACGAGAACTTTGTTCGCCTTCTTAAAAGCTGTGGAGATCTCGCAGCCGCGAGAAAGATCCACGCTCTCATCGCCAGCAGCGAGTACAGGGGACGGATCGTCCTCGCTAATCTCACAGTCGAAATGTATGGCCGATGCTCGAGCGTGGAGGACGCAAAGAGAGCCTTTGACGAGATCCAGTGTCCAAATTCCTTCTCCTTGAGCGCGCTGATGCTGGCATATTCCCGGAACGGGCATTGGAGGCACGCGAGGGAGGTGTTTGGCGCGATGCTGGAGAGAACTTACGTGGTGTGGAACTCCCTCCTGACGGTATATGCCCGTAACGGGGATTTGGAGGATGCGAGGAGGATATTCTGGCTAATGCCCAGCTGGAGCGTCGTGACGTGGAGTGCAATGCTGGCGGCCTTTAACGTGAAGGAGATGTTTCACGAGGCGAAGAAATGGTTTGAAAGTATGCCCGAGAGAAACGTGGTGGGCTGGACGAGCATGATAACGGCAAATGCCAAGAAAGGGTATATCCAAGACGCAAGGATTCTCTTTGAGAAGATGCCCCAGCACGACGTGGTGAGCTGGACGGAGATGGTGGACACGTATGCGCAGCGTGGCGGTGATGTGGCAGAGGCGCGGGAACTTTTTGAAAGAATGCCAGCTAAGGATGTGGTTTCTTGGAGCGCTATGGTCCAGGGCTACGCGGGGAGCGGTGATCTCGATCACGCACAGGCAATGCTCGATCGGATGCCGGCATTCAGCGTGATCGCGAGCAATGCCGTGATGCATTGCCTGGCACAGCGCGATCGATTCTGCGAGGCCCTGGAGATCTTCCATCGAATGCCGGTCAAGAGCACGGTGTCCTGGAATATTTTGATGGCCGCCTCGATCCAGCGGGGGGAGATCGGCGAGGCCAAGGCTCTCTTCGATCGGATGCCAGGTAGGGAGATCGTGGCGTGGACAATGCTCATCGCAGGATACTCTCACGCAGGAAATCTCTCTCTCGCCAAGAAATTCTTCGATAGGATTCCCCAGAGGAACCAGTTCTCATGGAGCAGCATCATCGCGGCCTACGCGAAGCTGGGACATCTCGATTCCGCGCTCGAGGCATTCCACAGCGTACCAGATCCGGATGTGTTTTGCTGGACGGCGATCGTGGCAGCATTCGCGCAGAAGGGACTCGGCGACGACGCGATGGAGCTGTTCCAGGCGCTGATCCTGGAAGGGATTGAGCTCGACAGCGTCGCATTCCTGACGATCCTCTCGGCATGCAGCCACGCAGGGATGCTGATCCAGGCGCGCTACTTCCTGGATCGGATGAGCAGCGACCACGGCATCGCGCCCTCGAAATCTCACGTCAGCTGTGTCATCGCGATGCTGGGGCGCGCCGGCCAGCTGCTAGAAGCCGAGGGGCTGATGATCGACACCCCGAGCAGCGAGAATGCGGTCGAGGATCTCCTCCCCGGCTGGATGGCACTGCTGGGATCGTCCAGAGTCCACAGCGAGATCGAGCTGGGGGCTCGAGCGGCGGCTAGGGTCGCGGGTCTCAACGCCTGCAAGGGCTCCTCTTACGTCCTTTTGGCGAGCGTGCTACATGCGAGCGCATGAGAGGTACGGAAGTGGCCATGGCCCAGTAGGTGGTACGGGCAAGCGTTGTTTTCTTCTGCCAGGCCTTGCCCTAAGGTTGCTCCAGTCGCGGCTGCTGGATCTGCCCAGCGCTCCCTTCCAAGGTAGTACCAAGAAATCTTCTTTTTCTCGGGGCTGCGGCGCCGCGGCCAGGGAAATCCTTCTTCTTCCAGCTTGGGCGAGGGCAATTTGCAACAAAGAGGGGAAAAATCTGAGGATGGTTGGAGGTGGAATCAGCCAGAACACGTTTGCAGCACTCGAGAGCCGCCGTCGCAAGAAGAAATCGGACAAGGAGGCGGCTTCGGGCAAGAGCGAGAGGAAGGAGGAGCCGCCGGCCCAGCAGGTCTGGGCTCCCGTGCCTGTGACCGTCAAGTCGTGGGCGGATGTGGAGGACGACGATGACGACTACTACGAGACCACCGCGCCGCTGCCACCGACATGGCAAGTCCAGCAGCAGCAGCAGCAGGAGCAGAGCAAGGAGGAGAAGGAGCTCCTCGAGGTATGAACAAAGTTCTAAAAATCCGTGTTTTCGGCTTCGCTGGTTTGATGAATTCTTTTTCCATGTTTAGCTTAGGAAAGTGAGGGTGATGAGGATATAGAAGAGGAGCCAGAGGACGAGGAGGCGGAGAATGAGGCCTCGGAGGAAGCTCCCGCAGCGGAGTCTGCTTCCACAGCCTCAGCTGCTGCAGCCGTGGCGCGCGAGCCCGACCGGCAGCTCTCCAAGAAGGAGCTCAAGAAGAAGGAACTCGCGGAGCTGGACGCCGTTCTAGCCGAGCTCGGCATTGCCAACGAAACAAGTGAGTGATCAAAGCCGCGATTTTTTTCTACGTCTTTGTTACTGATCTTACGCCGATTTGCAGAAGCTTTGGAGCCGCTTGACGAGGCCAAGGCCGTGGAGGCGAGCGAAGAGACGGGTGAGGCCTCCAAGGAGGCGAGCAAGTCCGCGAAGAAGAAGAAGCCGAAGAAGGAGAAGTCTTTCAAGGAGGGAGACGTGCCCCCAACGCCGGATGCCGAGGCAAGCAGTGCTAAGGAAGAGGCGGCGGTGGTGGCGGCGATGGCGGCGGATGGCCAGGTCCAGGATCCAAAGGAGATTGTCAAGAGGCTGGCCTCGATGAAGAAGAAGAAGTCGGGCAAAGACGGCGACATGGCTGCCAAGGCCGCCGCTGCGGAGGCCGCCGCCAGGGCCGTGAAGCTCGCCGCCGCCAAGAAGAAGGAGAAGCATCACTACAATCAACAGCCGGCACGATGAGTTTTTTGAGAGCCGAGAATTCTCTACGATCGCGCAGGTGTTGTCTTCGTTTTCTTTTGTTTCCTTCGTTGTTCTTCATCGCGGATGATTTCTTCCGCAGTTTCTATACGCAAGGTTTTGTAATAAAGAAAAGTGCAAGCTTGGTTCTATGCTTTCGATCACTTCCTTTGGTCTACGCAACATTCTACTCATCTCTAGTATAGTCCCATTGCACTTTTAAACTAGTATAGTCCAGAGCCATTCCACTTTTAATCTCTAGTATAGTCCAGAGCAAGAGCCCTAAAATTTACCGACGAACACTTTCTATCCTTACCGTCCGTGCGTGATCCAACGGCTGTTAACCGCGCAAACCACGTCATAGCCGGCATGGGGAAATATTTAGGTCTCGTCTTGGACAGATCGAGGGTTCCAGGGACTGCTGGGAGGAAGCTGGAGCGCTTTGATCGTGGCGCCCGCCGGATGATGCTTGATCGCACCGGGATCGGCTTTCTCTGAAGCAGGCCTGCAGTCTTCGCCCTAAGGAGCTCGATCGATCGATGCGCGCCATGAGGAATCTGGTGCTGCCCGCGCTCCTCCTCCTCTTCTCCACGCTCGCGATCGTCCAGGCGGCCGTGTTTAGCGTGGATCTTGGCGCGGAATGGATGAAGGTCGCGGTTGTGGACGTGAAGCCCGGGCAGAGCCCGATCGGTGTAGCGCTCAATGAGATGTCCAAGAGGAAATCCTCGTCCGTGGTGGCATTCTCTGGCGGGAACCGGCTCCTGGCCGAGGAGGCCATGGGCATCGCGGCCAGGTTTCCGGAGAGAGTTTATTCCAGGGTCAGGGACATGGTTGGGAAGCCCAGCGAATCAGTCAAGAGAATCGCGAGCGCCAGCTATCTTCCCTACGATTTTGTAGAAGAGAGTCCCCAGGTAACAAGCATTCGTGTAGATAGCCAGGAACTATATAGATCAGAGGAGCTTCTGGGGATGATACTTGGCTACTGCCGTGGATTGGCCGAGGCTAACGTCAAGGCTACCGTGAAGGACGCGGTCATCACTGTGCCACCTTACTTTGGTCAGTCCGAGAGACAAGCAGTGATAGCAGCAGCCCAGGCTGCTGGGATCAACGTCTTGTCTCTCATGAACGAGCACGCTGCAGCGGCCCTCCAGTATGGTATTGACAAGGATTTCTCGACCGAGCCCAGATACGTTCTCTTCTACGACATGGGAGCCAACAGTGCTTTCGCTGCGGTGGTTCTCTTCTCCTCGTACTCTGCGAAGGAGTATGGGAAGAATGTATCACACAACTACTTCGAGCTCAAAGGCATCAGGTGGGACGCGGAGATTGGCGGCCAGAACTTGGAACTGCGGCTGGTGGAGCACTTTGCGAAGGAGTTTGAGAAGAAGACGGGCGTGGACGTGAGGGCGTTTCCCAAGGCCGTGGCCAAGTTGAAGAAGCAGGCCAAGCGGGCAAAGGAGATTCTGAGTGCCAACACTGAAGCGAGCTTCTTCGTGGACTCCCTCTACGACGATCAAGACTTTAAGAGCCACATCACGAGGCAGGCATTTGAGGAGCTGTGTAGTGATCTGTGGGAGCGGGCTGTCATACCGTTGCAGAAGGTTTTAGAGGACGTTGGAATGACTTCCGAGCAACTCTACGCTGTGGAGCTTCTAGGTGGTGGGACTCGCGTGCCGAAGCTGCAACAGGTCCTCGCTCAGGCTCTGGGAAAGAAGCCTCTCGAGAGACATCTCGATGCGGACGAAGCTATCACCTTGGGGGCCGCGTTGTATGCGGCGAACATCAGCGACGGAATCAAGCTAAACAGGAAGATAGGGATGTTTGATGGAGCTTCCTATGGTGTCGTCCTGAAAGTGAACGATGACGGGCCATATGAGCTGGTGGTTCCAAGGCTGAGGCGGATTCCAGTCAAGTTGGCGAGAGCTGTGAAGCAGCAGGAGGACTATGAGCTTTCCCTGCACTACGATCCAGAGGGAGAGCTGCCGCTGGGCATCATTGATCGGGAAATAGCGGCGTTCAAGATCTCCGGTGTGACGGACTCGGTCGCGAAGTACTCGTCTTACAACCTCTCGGCTCCCATCAAGAGTGTGCTCCACTTCGCATTGTCTCGAAGCGGGGTGCTTTCCTTGGATCGCGCCGAGACCGTCGTGGAATTTACCGAGTTGGTCGAGGTGCCTGTCAACGTCAGTACCAACGCTACTACCACTCTGGAGAGCACCTCCAATGCGTCTGTCGCGGAGAACGTGACTCAGGCTCCCGTCGAAACAATCATGGAGAAGAAGCTGAAGAAGAAGACGATCCGGATTCCTTCGAAACTCGAGGTTCTCCGGGACACTGGTGCTTACTCGGAGGATCAAGTGGCGCAGTTCCGTAGCAGGCTCGACAGGCTCAAGGAGCTCGACGACGAGAAGCGGCAGACTGAAGAGGCAAAGAACAACCTCGAGTCGTACATCTACACGACCAAGGAGATGCTTGACACAATCAAGGATCTGTCCAAGGTATCCACTGAGAAGCAGCGGCAGGAGTTCCTGGCGAGGCTGGACGAGGCTGGCGAGTGGCTCTACTCGGATGGGGAGGCCGCGACGGCGTCGGAGTTTAAGAAGCGGCTGGGAGAGCTCAAGGCGATTGGCGATCCCATCTTCTTCAGGCTAGAGCAGCTCACGGCGAGGCCAGCGGCGATGGAAGCCGCGCGGGGTTCGTTGGTGGAGTCCGAAGCGGCCATCCACGAGTGGAAGGAGAAGAAGCCGTGGATCTCCGACGCGGAGGTGCGAAAAGAGGGCCAGAAGCTGGTGGACTGGATCGAGGCCAAGGAGTCCGAGCAGGCGAAGGTGGCGGATCACGAGCAGCCGGCATTCTCGTCGACCGAGGTGTACGCCAGGATCGAGAAGTTTAGAGTGCTGGTTGCCAGGACTGGCGCGCAGAAGGCACCAAAGCCACCAAAGATCGAGGAGGTGGTGAAGAACGATGCTGGATCCGAGGAGCCGAAGGTTGGAGAGGAAAATCCAGGAGCGAGCAGCGGTGGTGGTGACAGTAACTCGGGATCGACACAAGAGGGGGAGAGGGAGATCGAGAGCCCGGATCAAGCGCAAGCGTTTGAGGATGAATCTTCGACTACTCCACTCCGGGACGAGCTCTAGCTAGCCACATTGTTTTCATTTTGTTTGTCCTACAGTAAGAAGTGATATACAGATATTTTCTATAAAGTATCATCCATGGAGTGATATACAAATCTTTTTTCCAAAACGAAACGTTTGTGATTTGATGATATCGTCTTTGCAGCTCGCAAAGTATAGCTGCTACATACATACACACTTTCCAGAAATTATTACGACGAGGAATGCCTGTATAGTAATGTTTTCTCCATTTTTTTTGGTTTGTTTTCGGATCTTTGCTCACACACCACCACCACCCATGATATTAAGAGTGCCAAACCTCTTTCTTTCCAGACAGAAAGATTGTATCGTGGCACGGAGCCGGGCTCTCACTCATTTCCCACCGAAGAGATAGCCGAGCGAAGAACCACCGCCGGGAGCCGAGTGGACTTTGGTCGATGGGCGGTCCTGTAAGAACGAGAACAAGGTAGGAAAGTTTTAGTTCTTCCATCAGTGGAACAGATCGAGAAAGAAGAGAGAAAATGGTCTGAGATGGTCTTACCGTGATGAAGTTGCCAGTGTTTTGGCCATCAGCGCGGTGGTAATTGTTGTTGTTCCTGCCTAGCTTGACAACACCAGCGTCGCCATTCTCTTCGTGCTTGCAAGCGGCCGGGGCATGCGTGGGCGTTGGAGTGGGATGATTCCTCGAAATGCCGGCCGGAGGCGGCGTCGCAGCAGCAGCGGCGGCAGCGGCAGCGGCGGGAGGTTGCTGCTGCGGCGGAGGCGGGGCCGAAGGTCTGGAGCACTTGGCCGGCTCGTCAGATCCAAACAAGTAGCCCAGGGAGCTCTGCCCTCCACCACTGCTCACACCGCGACCCATTGTCGAGCGAGGGAGATCTGCGAAACCCTAGAAAGACCGGCCCTAAAATCAGATCGGCGCGGCCGCGGCGACGATGATGCAGGCAAGCAACAGTATAGCAACAGTGCAAGAAGATCCTCCACACAATGCAGGCAAGGCAAGCGAGAAATTTTCACGAACCTGGGGAAACTCCCGCAAATCTAGCCGCGATGGATCGAATCGGCGCCCGAGCGAAGAGAGATAGCAGATCTGGCGATGGCGCTGCGCGATCTACTAGGCAAGAAGAAGAACACGGCAGACCATTCTTTTTTCTTTCCCGAAAAACCCTAGAGAACGAATGCCAAGCCCTCTTCTCTCTCTCTCTCGCCCTAGCCTAGAGAGCTTTGGAGAAGCCCTGTGAGAAACCTCTCCCTCTCTCTCTCTCTCTCTCTCTCTCCCTCCAAATGAGAGAACGTGACAGGCGCTAGGTAACCGTTGATGCGGATGGTGGGCTCCTCTCTCTCACTTTTTTTTTTCTAGCCACTCTGGTGCCGGCCGGCAGTGCCCATTCCGTGGCACGAGCGGCACCGTCGGATGGAGTGCATCGTGCGGCTCGTGCGCTTCCGGCAATTGTCGGTGTGCCCGTACTACTGACGAATAGAAAATGTTACGGCGACAGTTCATCGAAAAGGAAAGTTTACAAATAAATATGTGGCCCCCGCGGGTGTCGAACTTGCAACCTCCATGAGAACATTCTCCTCTTCGCTCAGGGATATTCGCGTTTAAGCTCTAAGCGGTTTTAACCCCTTGAAAGAACAAAGAACAAAGAGTCAGACGAGAGCTCTTCCAGATTGAGATTTCTCACCCGTGACGCTCGAATCTCGTTCACAGCGACGAGCAGCGAGTTGTCCGAGGTAATAACTTTCGAGAGTGATCCCGTGCTGAGCCTGATCTTGCAACAAAATTTACTCAAAACCTTGCTGGGACTCTTCTGTGTTTTTACCCGAGTTTTTCTGCGGCGATTGACACCGAGCCACCCACGGAATCGATCAAGTCCAGAAGAAGCTGCAATCCCTGTCATTGACGAGGAACAACTCGTGAGGAGTTCTCTCTCGAGAAAAATAGAATAGAACTCTCCCAACTTACCAAGAGATAGTCTGGATGATTAGGACCCAGTTGCCTGGAAGACTTCCTCGTCTCTTTCAAAGGAAGAATCTGGGCGAGCTCCGGGGCTACCACGTACCCCTCCAAGTTCACGGGGCTTCTCACTGCAAAGCATAAAACGTTAGACAATCTCGAGCAAAACCAACGAACTTACACGTTTGATTGCGATCGTGTGCCTGAGACGCTGCACAGCGGACTCGCGATTCCTATGCTGCGAACGATCCTCACTAGCCTGGCAGTACAACACATCAACAAAGAAATTAGTCGTGAAGAAGTGTTGGTGGTTTTTACTTATACCTGAGAAACCAGGCCAGTCGGGAGGTGTTTGAGCCTTACTGCGCTCTCCGTCTTGTTGCGATGCTGGCCGCCAGGGCCTGTTGCTCGAAATGTATCCATTTTGCACTGTGCCACTAAATCCCTCTCGCTCATTCTCAGATAAGCGATGCTCGTCGCCGCGGAATTGCTCTCGCCATCACCATCACCCTCACCTATTTGGGGTGTTGGAAATGCGGCAAATTTTGCAACAGGAATTCGACGCTGCAGCATCCCCCATGGCGCAAGAACCCTCGTAGAACAAACCCTAGCGGCCATCTGAATTTCTTCTATGCCATCGCTATACTTATAAAGAAGGTAGAAATTTTCAAATAAAAAGATTTATATTTTTTTATTTCATTATAATTGATCATATGTTGATCAATTTCTACTATCAAGATTTAAAGTTCATAACAATCATAGCTTGTTTTCCTATTCTTTATAATTTTGAGCGTAAGTTATATTACGCCAAATTAATCCTCAAAAACATTGAAAGAAGTGGAAGATGAACTTTAAATGCTCTCATCCGCGACTTTGCAGCCGTGGTCCCCCTCAGAGCTCATGAATTACACCTTGGTAGACTGTGAATGCCGCAACCGGGCATTTGCCGCGGAGACGAGGAGGCCATACAAGCGCCGAGTGAATGAAGAACGATTCGAATGAAAGGGAAAGTGGAGTGAATGAATGAGATGGCTAGAAACCTTCTTGCACTCGTCGTCCTCATGATCTTGGATTAAAAAAAAAGGTGTGTTCTTCGAGTCAAAGCAATTCCAGGATATGGAATGGAGGATTAAGAACGAAATAGATATTTGCTAACTTACTAAACAGCTGTTGCACACAAACCCCAACACCCCACACGTTTTGATACAGTAAGCTGAGCCGTTGAACAATGGTTTGATGTTTAATTCCACGCGATTAAGGCTTCGTTCTAAAGCAGCTTACCTCCAAGTTCTCTAAATCGCTACTCCTCCAAGTTCTCTTTTAGCTTGTTCTTATACCACTTGAGCACTTGGCCCAAAAATGCTTTTGCTTCCAGGATAGCACTCTCAAGCTCACTGGTACTTCTGCCATTCTCCTCTTCCAAAAACCGTTCAATCTCACTTGTTAGTTGCAACTTGAGAGTGTAGTCTGCTACTGATAACTTGATCATCTCTGGTGGCTTCAGAGCAAGCATTTCTTGAGGCTTCACTGTGTCGTACTTGTAGAGAGCCATAGCATTAACACCTCCAACACACAGACCTTTGATCTTACTAAGATAATGCTGAAAACCCTGCCTGCTTCCCTCAATCCCTGCCTGTTTCTCAAATGCAACAGTTGCTGCATCCAAGAGAACATTTACCTGGTCAAAATTTTCTCCCTGCCTCTCAACGTGATGGAAAAATCCTGAAAATGAAATGAGGTCCTGCTGGAGTTTCTTCATGACTTGCTTAGTTCCTTGCAACTCTTTCCTGCTAACCACGAACTTCTGCCCTTTGACTTCGAGTTTTGCAGACAGCGCATCAACCACAACTTCTTGAAGCTTCCAATCCATGGTCTTCATAGCCACATCCAAAACACCTGCTGCACACTGGCATCTCGCAATCCCCCTAGAAGAAAAGACAAGGGGCTCCATAGCTGATATTCTCGCCTCCATGCGCGCGATCTGCTGTGTGAGCAATGCAAACCTTGCCTCCGCCCTTGCATCTTGACCCACACAAGCACCTACGTGAGAAAACTCTTCAGGATGTCTGCTACGAGAAGTAGCTTCATGCCGGCTACGTTTTCTCGCTTTTTCTTCGTTGTCCCAGTGACTGCGCTTCCCAAGTTGCTCACCCTTCTGCAACTCACCTAGATGCGCCAGTTTTGGCGTTGCATCGGAAGTCATTGCTAAGCCCTAATGATACTCAGCTCGTGTAGCCCCCTTGTGATGCGCTACTGCCAATGATCACTCGTGCCTGTAAAGGAAAGGAAAACCTTAAATTGATTGCCTTTATACTTGATCTCTTAAAGGTTATTTGAGCTTTTAGAAGAGAAAATACAAAAAGTAAAATTAAAAAAAGGAAAATATCTCTTATTTAGTTACTAGTCGATGTCAAGCCTTTATCCTTTACTTTAAAAAATTATCAAACTTTGCAAAGGAATAATTAATTTGTTTGTGTTCAAAATAAAAAAGATGCATAACCTCCCAACAAAACTTCATCTTTTGCTTCTTTTGATCGGATTATATGAATGCAATCCGACCAGTACAGTTCCTCATTCCCTCAAATATACAGCACTAACAAAATTATTTTTGGATGTGTTGATGTTGATTCTCTGTAAGAATCGCAGCTCGCAGCTTCATGAGCAAGCGGCCCAGCTGGTTTTGTCCCGTGCCATCTTTGCCAGACCCCCAAAAGTAGTCGTGTGGGGACGACTCGATCAGCACACAACCAGCTGTTGACAGCAGCAAACTTCGCAGCTGCGGGTAGGACGAAAACTTTGCAACCAGCGCTTCTTCCATCACGTCCATCTTGGAGTTTTCCCAGTCTGGCCTCACCTGCAAGAAGCTTTTATTTTATAACCGAGAGAACAAAGCTTACCAGATCAGGACGTTCGCGAGCTAAGCGTCTCCCAATTCTAGCTGCTTCTTCTGGGCTTTCAGCATTTCTGATATTTTCTATAGCTTGCATTGCCAGTTCGTCCTCAACTCCACTAAACTTTTGTGCCTATGTGAAAGAAAGAAACCCGATCAACAAATTGCTAGCGAACGTCAAAGGAAAACCTGGTAGTAGTGCTCGACGCTTTTCCACGTCTCGCTAGAGCCAGGTAGCTTAATTGAGTGTGCTGTGAAGTTCGTAAAGGCACCGTATGGATCCCACGACTTGTAGAAGTAGATCACAGTGGAGCTTGAGAAAATTCCAGCGTCTGCAATCGAGGGATCGTCCGCATAGGCAGAAGCAGGTGATTTCATGCGAGGAATCGGCTTAAGGTAGCCCGAAACCAACATGTCTGGGCCAACCTTCAGAAAGCTCGGAGTAAGGGGAAAAGAAAACGTTTTGATAAGAGCTTACTTGTTCGAAAGTCACGTCGAGCAGATTTAAAGCTTGTGTCATTTCCACCATTCCCAACTCACCAACAGGCGTTGGAGCAGTCACTCCTCCAATGATTTTTGGAGCAACAAACGCAATAACCTGCTCAAAAACAAGAGAACATGAAACAAAGAAACAAAAACGAAAGAAGCAAGATAGAAAAAAATGCGGTTCACCTTGTGAATGATACCAGCAGCTAGTGCCGGAGCTGACAAAGCTCCTCCACATTCCCATAAAACCGTGAGGAATCCACGCTCGTAACAGTAGTCCATGACAGCTTTCGGTGTGAGAAAATCGAATTCCACCACCTCCACACCCCTCGTGACAAGCTCCCTCTGGAACTCTCTCCGAGCACCCCTTTGCGTCATAACAATCGTATGAGCATTTGAAACGTCCCACAAGTGGAGCTCCAAAGGCAAGTTTAGAGTTCTCGACATGACCACGCGAACTGGTAAGTGTCCGCCTTCTCGCCTGGTGGTCAGTCGCGGATCTGAAACACTTTAGACTTCATGCTCTTGTGTGCTGAAATTTTGAAAACCAGAATTCTGTATACTTACTATCTCGACGTACGGTGTTTCCTCCGACGATGATCGCATCACTTCGACCTCTCGTCTCGAAGACGCGCTGGCGAGACATTTTGCTGCTCACCCAGGACGCATGGCCAGTACTGGCGGCAATCTTCCCTGCGAAGAAACACGATTCTTAAGAGCGCTCGAAACGAAAGGAACTATACCATCCAGTGTCATTGCGTATTTCAATATCGAGAAAGGAACCTCATGCGTAGCTCTGTAAAGAAGAGGAGCATTTACCTCTTGGCAGGCTCTGAAAGCTTCCTAAACCGGACTATAGAGTTCTTCAGACAAACCAAGAACAGAGGAACAATACCTTAAACGTGCCATCACCATGCTTCTCAAGAACATCCACGGGAATTCCCAAGCCGCGCAATGCCGCGATCGCCTTCCCGGAGTGATGCTTTAGCGGGTGTTGCAATCCTACCACGACTCTCGCCACTCCACTCTACACAAAGAAGGAAAATAGATCAAACTCCGGAGGAAGAACACACTATTTTTTCAAATAACTTCTTACCTGCTTGAGAGCCTTGATCGCCGTGTCATCGCCGTGACAATCCCCTGGCTCCAGATTGAGATACGCCGTGGCTCCTCGCGAGAGCTCTCCAGCCATCTCCACTGCCTGGATCTCCGCGCAGCGAGTGCCTTGGCCATAGAGAAAGGCTTCGCCCACCACTTTCTCGCTCCGGGCGATCACGCACGCGGAATTGGGATGCGGCGCAGTGTGGCCCGCCGATCCATCGGCGAGCTCCGCGGCGCGCAGCATGTGGAACGAATCGAAGCCCACATTGGATGGCGCCATCGCAAGGAAGGCCATCGCGAGGAACTAGGGTTTATCAGGATCGTGGTCGTGACTATTTATAAACCATGCGCTAATTTTGCTGGAAATGGAATATTAGAATATTCTTTGAACAAAGCAAAACTTTGATAAATTGCGTGTAAACTATCGTTCGCCTTCTTTCCAGTTTGGAATGTTTGCTGTGGCTTCGTTGATCATTCTCACGAGAGTTACCTGGCGCGCAAACAAGGAAAGAATTTCACATCTTTCGCAGTAGATCTGGATGCTTACCACACTCTCGTGAACTCCTTTCGGTGGCATGGTTAGATTTCTTGGTGGAGCGCCTTGTCCGTAAGATCTCTTGTCGAATCTCCATTCACCAAATTTACCAAACATGGGCTCTCCCTGGAACACAATCAATGTAAGGTCGAACAATCTCTCTTCTGCATCTAAGTAAACGCCTACCTTGAGCGTGTAGTCGCAACCGTACGTGTAGTGTATGATGAACTTCTTTTCCAGCTTCGTGTCGTATGGAGGCTGGACGAGCAGTTTTGAGAGTACTGCGGAGAAAAACTTGACAGAAAGTAGTTTTACCTGGAGCATGAAGTCTTTCCGGAGTACGTGCTGGACACCGTGCATTGCAGAAGCGACTGCATATCCATACCTGAGTTCCAAAAATCAAACGCTGAGTCGTGTGGAAACACTGATTGAATTGATACTTACATTTCGAGCACCCAACCGAAGTCCTTATCAGCTTGAGGATCGTTCTTCATCTCCAACGAAACATTCATCCACGTCGGAGCAATCTCTTTGAGAAGTGACTGCATCCAAAGAAGCTGTGAGACGACGAAAACGGAACTACCTTGTGTACCTTCTTAATTATAACCGGGGAGTTACCTATAGGATCAATGTTAGTGATCGGTCCTTTGCTTTCAGGATACCATCTACGCAGGGTCTTCTGGAACTGTTTAGGATCAATGTAAAAGAATGGGAAGGCCGCGGGAAGTTCGCCAGTGGAAAGGTTTGGAATAGGCCGGATAATAATATGATCTGGCTCTGCCATAAATACATAGCTGCAAGCACACAAACCAAAATCAGTATTGAAAAAGAAAACAAAGTACACAAAATGCCTACTCTTCTTCGATCTCAACGTCCCGAAACCATTGCACGAATGCCCATGGACGATTCAACACAACAAATCCCTGGACAAAAGAACGAAATGCTTGAGCAAAACTTACGAGGCAAAAGAAAAAAAAACGAAAACTCTACCTTGTCAGTTCCCTCGGGAAGTGGCTGGACAACATACGTAGGAATCTCGTCCATCAAGTGATCGGCCTTTCCTGTGTGGAGCAAGCGCGTAAATCCACCCATCTCCGACCCGGCCTTCTCCTTTTGCTGCTTATACCAGTAGTACATGACCCGGCTTTGCCAATTGTTGTAAGGGACGGAGCTAGCGGTCATCACCGTGTGGAACATCCTCTTCTTCTTCTTCTTGGAGTTCTTGAAAGACCGGGGCATTTTGATCAAGGGATCGTAGGTGTCCACTCCACCCGCGGGATTTCCATCCATGTCGGACATGGCCTTTTGATCGCTCATCTCGCCGCGATGCTTGAAAACCATGGACACTGTGTTGTGCGTCGCGATGAACAGCGCCACCGTGATGAGAATTAGCAGTGGAAATGTAGCTCTGCCCATGGCTGCCGCTGCCGATTGCCCTCCTCTTTCCAGATCAGGATCGCCGTAGGAGCCTGGGGATGAGAAAATTTGAGAAATTTCGATCGATCGGCCGATCGACGGAGCGCTGGATCTCAAATCCCTGCCTAGGGCTTAAGAGATCGCGTCGCGAGAGCGTACCTGGGAGACAATCGCTGGGGAGATTCGCTGTGGGCCGGCGGCGGCATTCCAATCAGGGTTCTTGCTCGCTCTAGCTACTTTTAACACTGGGTTGAGTACAAGTCAAATAAAAACGCCACGTCATATAAAGAATAGTGGGTATATTCTTTCTACAATGCATGGTGCATGACCATGCAAGAACAGTGTTGCAATTGCCTGTTTGATGGCATTCGAGCAAAAGCTTGGCACTCTCGATTCCTATGGAAAAAGTATAAAATTCGATGGTTCCAATGTTTAAAAAAATTCAAGGGGAAAAGCTTACCACTGAAATAATTGCTCGTGCTTTCCGGAAAAATTTAGTCGACTAACTGGAGCCTAGGAAAATAAAAGAAGAATGAAGATAACTTTAGAGGAGCTCATCTTACCTTGATTGCCTCAAACTCGGAGTCGCCCACTCCGATCGGGCAGTTCGAAAACGAGCCCTGGAAGTATTTCTTTTTCCACCACCTCGGGATCAGTGCCTCGTCGGGCTCTG